ATTTTAGGTTTGGTATTTTTTAAAAGATCTGTTCCTCAGTGCACGCTGGACCATAATGATGGAAAAGCCTTTGTTCTTCAAAAGCATTCTTAGTAAGTCACTGTCACTTGTTTCAGTACTTGTATCAGTATCCAAATATTTCTCTTTTTAAGAAGCACTGTACACATCTTAGCTCTCTTTTTACTTTGCTGACAGAACCTTTGCAAGAGCTTCTGAGAGCCTCCAATGCAGCTTCAAATTATTAATAAAAACCACCTGTGACTATAAATGTATACTGTTCCTGGTTGTTAACATTTCTAAATGTATAGTTGTTTGTACACATTCTAACTTACTGCTAGATACAAATGTCAAGAAGATACAGATGATCTGCAGATTGTCTTTTTCATCTACTCAGACTGCTTTGATAAGGTATGTCAGCAACTTTGCAGGTGACCTGTTTATTGATCAGGATGTTAAGCATTTGAACAGACTTCTGTGAAGTGAAGCATCGAGTTTTTTTACTCTGCTTTGGCCACCAAAAAGCATTTAAGTCCCTGGTATAGTGAGGATTAAGCTTTAACAACCTCTGGGGTTGATAAATCAAGAGTTTGTGTGTATATGGTCTGCTTTGTGCTACAATCAAGGCCTGTGCCTTCAAATAGTCCGGTCCCTATACCCCAAATATTTCAGGGATTAAATATGTGGGAATTAAAACAATTGCAGGCAAAGCAGAAGGCAGCCCTATTTTTTAGTTTATCTAGTATGATAGGTAGACCATATAAAAAAACTAGAAACTATAAATAGACTGTAAAATAGGAAAGGACAGGTATCCTTTCCTGCTTTTGTTGAGTGCAAACACCAGAACTTATGAGAGGCTGCGCTTGGTAGGATAAAAGATCCATCTCACCTGGTACCTGGTTTCCAACAGCCATGTGCCTGAGAAAGCATCTGAAAACAGAGCAGGTGCATGGGAGCCCTTCCCTTCCATAGTCTTTAGGTCTTGAGGAATTTGAAGCTTGTGGACTGCAGAGGTTTTGCATTTGTATTTAATGACGTTAGATGACCTTTCTTCCACTGATCTAATTACTTGAATCTCATGGAAACTTGTTTCTGATGGACATATACTGTAATTTCCCTCAGAACAGGAGAGTCAGAGTAGCAAATGTTATCATACCTATGACAAAGTTATCAGTTCTTTCTATCAGAACAGAATGGAGTGGAGTGGAAGTGTGGTTTTGCTTCAGGAAGTTAACATTTAAATGGACCTAAGCTGGCTTGGATGTTAATACATCACTGAGATAAATGGTATGGAGGAGAGTTTATTTCTTTGCTGCTACGATGCTGGCAGGAGAGTGTGCTGTGTAATTGATTAACAGGGCACAGTACATTGACTTATATGGGGAAAGCTATTATATCTCAGTAACAGGAAGGTATATGTGATTCTGGTTTTAGTAGGTAAAAAATTGGATTCTGCAGGAAATAGCTAAAAGTGCTGAAAGAATCAACGTTTCCCAAGGATTTTTTTTTTTTTTCTTAAATCTGTGGCATAACAGCATTTCATGTTATGAAGGAAGTTTAAATAGTGCAATATATTTAGTGGAACTTTCATACAGGGCTAGAAATATTAGCTTATGTATGCAGTCTTTTAGCTTTTGTTCTCTTGGACCTAAAGTCACAAGTTATTGATGAGATTTAATATCTTTTTTAACATCTGTTCATTTCAAGTAGAATCCTTCCCTGTAATTCATACGCATTTATGGTGAATTTCCTACATTTTGAAGCCTAAATGACTAAGCAGATTGAGGGGTGTGTGTTTGGTTTTCAAACAATGAGAAATGGTTTTATTCTTTAGCTTATTAGTTGGTATCCCAAAACAGGTATAGGAATTGAATGCAGTTCTAAACAACAGTGAAGGAAAACTACATCAACTCTGCGTTTTCCACCCCCTGCACTCCCAGTATTGGTGATTTCAACCAAACTAAGAAAGCAGAGGTCCACATTCAGTCCTTCAAAAGCACATGTACACCAAACGAAGCACATTCATGATTGTCTGTAAAAACTGTGACTGCAGTGGCAAATACAATGTGATACTCCCTGTGGGATTTTATTTTTATTTTTTCACTATGTCAACCTTCTCTGTCTCGCTCTTTTGAATCCAAGAGGATGGATTAGCGAAGCAGAGACAAGGCAGGCCATACAGGGGGATGATGGTTTAGAAGCTAGTACTCTTTCCAAACAACTTTTTCCATGTTTCCTTTTGCATATCTTCATCAATAGCAGCACCAATATAGTAGCTGTCAAAATAAAAGGAGGAGGTTTTCTCAATAGCTGCTGGGATCAGTAAAAGAATAAACGTTCTGATGAGCTTCTACTATTTAGAGAGGGGTTTTTTTTTCAGCTATTGTGTTGTTTCTGAACACATTGTCAAAAATCCAGGTTTATTTTTTTGTTGCAGAAATTCAGGTTTCACTCACATTTTATCCCTTTAAAAGTTTTTTTTTGGTTGTGATTTAGGATAGCTCTTTTGTTTCACTTTTTTTTTTTAATACTGTGACTAATAGCCTCCCATTATATTCAGTAATTGGTCAAATGACATCAGTAGCAAAGATTTTTGTAGCTAAATCTTTGTATTCTTAATACTGGTCCATACAGATGCAGGTCCCGCCCCCCAGTATGAAACTATGGGTGGGGGAAAATTGTATAAACCTAATAATTTGCTTTAAAAAATATACTAAAAAAAACCCCACCAAAAAAAAACCTGAAAAAAACCCCCTGAAAACTGAAGAAAGGTACTTATTTGTTCAACATTTGCTCTCATTGATAATGAGAACATATTTTTTCCTTAACAGGAAATATTGTGTAAGATAAGAATAGGAAAATGCTATAAAGAGATTTTGTTATGTATTTTTAAAATATTTCTAATTATGCATTCTTTTGCTTTTAAATGTTTCATGTCATTTTTACCCAGACAACAGAATTAATGACAAATGACTTCAAATCTGTAGATAGGTAACGCTAATAATAAAGCGGCAGGGAGAGCAGTTTGCTAGCAGTCTTTAAAATGAAAACCTATTTTTATGAACTACCAAAAATACACTATAGATAAAGAAATACGTGAGAAAAACTTGGTCAATTATCTCTGTCTTTCTGTGATTATGACAGTTAGGGCAAAATTTGTAATGAGTGCTTCAGCCTGCTGCTCAGTCCTATTCTCAAGCTCTAACCTCATACTGCATTGACTGAAATAAAAGCAGCCTGGCCCAGGCCCTTGCTCCATGCCATACCCCGGCTGCTAGAGAGAGGTCCTGTGCGACCTGGGTGGACTGCTTGGGTAGGTGGTGTGACGTGGAGTGAGCACAAGGCACTGTGCCCACCCGGCTGCGGGCTTCTGAGCAAACGCACTGTGTGGCTGCAGCCAAAGCAAGGGGAGGAGGGGAATCGATCCTTCTCGTTTGTGGTATAAACAATAATGCTTAAAACCGTTTCTCTTCCCTTGTCAAAATTCCATCATTAAATAGTGTGGTAGTGAACTTTAAAGTCATTGGAATTGTCCTTTAATTCAGTGCAAAGCAATTGCCCTTTACTCTTGCCTGTGCCTTTATGCTGGTATGAATTTTGTTTTCTCTTTAACAAACTCTCAGAGATTTGTGAAGGAAACTTATTCATTTTGTTAAATGTCAAAGTACTGATTCATGAACTAATGTTCTTCTGTATTTCTGTGCTTCAGTTTCTATTGCTGTGTAAGTAATTTTATTTTTCATTACATGAGACTGGAAATTTTAGGAGACCTGCATTATAAATGAGTTGATTCAGTCACAATCCTTTTTTTTCAGTTAAAGTTCCTCTTCTGAGGGTAGGATTAATTCAGTCTCCATGTGTGATCCAGTCCAGCCAAATCACAGTTTTCTAATTGTACCAAAACTATGTGGTGTGGCTGAGTATTAAATGTGCTGTCTATCAGGGGTGGTGTAATGCTTTCTAGATACATAAATTAAGGGTGTTTCCAGTTATAGCAGAGCCTGTGTTGCAACGTGTGTGTTTAAAAAGATTAGACAAGCTGACTGGTGTAGGTTATGGGTTTTTTTTCCTGCTGTGGTAGGTTGTACCTGAAATGTAAACAAGTAATTTAACCTACATATTTCACCCATCTGTTGAAATAACTGAGGAAAAACTAGAACAAAGGGCAGTATAGTAACTATCTAAGTATTTGAAAAAAACCCAAAGCCAGTTCTCTTTATTCTAATTTACATAACTTCATACAACAGCAGATTTGTTTTAAACTTTTTTCTTTATTAGAAAGGCAAAGATTCTGATTTTGTTTTCTCCTATCTTAGATGCTAATACCAAGTTAATCTTCTTTATACTGAGTAAAATAGAAGTGAAGTGCTGAAATGGATTATAGAGATTATATTTTTTAAAAAAAGATTATTTTGTTTATTTTTTCAGTAAATGTGATAATTCATAGGCATTTATTCATGTACACTAATTTATTTTCTTTTTTAAAATATGAGGTTATCAGCACTTTTATTACAGAACTGAAAGTTTATATCTTATCTACTTCTTACAAAGTTTTCATGATAATATTTTTCTTTAGCATTACCTTTTCATGTCACCAAAAACATTCAGGATATATCAGGACAGGCTTTTTTGTTTGTTTATATTACCTGTAAGGAGAGTGGTGGCCCATGGTTAAGCACTACCATTACCTAATTTTGTCCTAACTTTGTTGAAGTCTTTATTTACTCATGTTGTGGTGTGTGTCTGTGTGTTTTATTTGTTTGTTTATGGATTTTCTTCTGGTTTTGGCAGTGGGTTTTTTTGTTTGTTTGGGGTTTTTTTGTTTTGTTTTGTTCTTGGTTTGTTTTTTTTTTACTGAAACATTGGATGTAGCCACACACATTCCACATTTACAAAATTAACAAGGCTGTGTTATTACCCCTAAGAAAAATAAAGGGCACATTGCCCCTTCATATGTATGAATAATGAACAGCATAAAGTGAATCTGGTTTCTTGTGTTTCAGAAAAGTGTGATGAACCTCTGGTCTCAGCATTACCCCACTCCTCCTTCAGCAGCTCATCATCTATGACAAGCAGCTATGTGCCAGGGTATGCCAAGTTAAACAAGAGAGGAGGTAAGGGGCACTCTCTACCTTCATGTTCAGATATTTCAAGAAAAAGACGATTAATGATATTTTTAATATGAAAATGCTGTTTATGTAAAATATCATTTCTATGTTTTAAAACAGAGTTTTAGCTGTCTGGCAGACTGTTTTTGTAAGCGGAATGAATTTCTGTTTGGTTGTATGTGACGGTAATTGCACTCCATTGCACTGCGGGGAGAAATACGCTACTAATAACATGTAGCAGCATGGGCCAAATGCCTAATGTCGATGGAGTCATACAGTACAGTTGCACAGTTGACTTGAGTTAAAAGGGCATACCTGTGTTCACTGGGTAAATGAACATTTGCAAGGTCATAGCTGTTGGAGCAAAACTAAACAGCTTTGATATGCTTTGTTGATTTAACTTGTTTCCTACCTTAGCAATGACTGCTGTCATTCAGCTTTTTCTAGCACCACAGGACTTTGCCTTTTGCCTGTATTTCTGTAATGCAGTGAGCTGTTGTTCAGAAGTAAGACAGCCACCTTAATTTTGGTGGTTGGAAGAACAAGTGCATAAGTTTGATTTGCCTGGTCTAACTATATCCTTAGCACTAGGCAAACTTATTTCACGGTCTGAACACAAGTCTTTGCCTTCACCCATAGGAATTTTCATGGCTTTTTCTTAATATTTCTAGATGTGTGATTATATGCCATTTTGATATCGATGTTTAAATTAATTTAACAGCAATGATATACGTTTAAACATGAAAATTTGGATTAACAGAAAATTAGTATTCTGGATACTATTGATTTTATTCTTTTAGAAATAATATCAATCTAAAAGTCCTAAAATCTAAAATTTCGCAGATTCTTGGGGAATTACCTTGTGAATCAATACCAAAATTTTATGTCCCCCTCAAAATACATGTCAAGTGTATAATGAATTGACTTAGTGAACCTAGAACTAAGAAATACTTTTACTTGAGGGAAGAAGAAGAGAGACAAATGACTACAGTGCCTCGATCTTCTAAATCCTGAAGGTCGATAATAGCGACCACCAGACTTGTAGAAGGCTGGCTTATTTGTGCTGATGCTTTATTTTTTCCTGCTTCTGCAGAAATTACGTTGCTCCTGCCTAGATACCGTATTCTGCCTCCTCAAAAAAACCCATAAACATTGAAACAAAAGTGGCAGTATTTGATCTGGGTGTTTGCAAACAAAATCTGAAATACTTTCAAATGGTAGAACATCCTTGAGGTTAAAAGCAGAGTTTGTGGCATCAAAAATATACCCTGGGTTGCCTATGTTCTCCACCAATTTTTTTATACCAGTGTTTGTGCAGTTTCTGAGTCAAAAAAATTCTATACCTTATGAGGAAAGCCATGAATTTACTCTTAGCCTAATTGTAATCTTAATCAAAGCATATTATTGGCCTAGCTATTATTACAAAATAAAAGAAAGAAAGCAAGAAATGAAAATATACTGTTAGGGGAAAAAAGTCTCAATAATAAAACGGACTATATACACATACTTCCTTGTATCTATCCATTTCCATGGTGTTGGGCTCACCCTGTCGCAGCTCCTCCGAGCCTTATGGTGGATGACTCAAGCTGGAGTAGGGGCTGTGCTGCGTTGTCAGTGTCCCCAACTCTTTACTGGGAGGTGGACACAGATGTCAATGACAACATTGACACAGCAGGATCTGCTTGAGGTTAATTGTATGTGTTCTCAGGGAATGGGGTGAGGGGAGCTGCACTATGAGGTTGGCCAAGTGGGAGACATGGCTGGTGATGCCCTGGCTGCTGGGGTACCATCCCCTGTCCACAAGGAGGGTGGGCAGTGCTGGTGGCACCAGCAGTTTCTGACAGTTTTCTGGAGATCATCACACAGGAAAGGATGAGCCAGGTCTGATGTCGAGCCAGGAAGGTCAATCCACAAGTGGAGAAGAAATGGGGCTGGGCATGGATACACCTAGGACATGGCTCAGGTAGGGCCTGGGGGGCTGAAATAGGGCTCCCAGGCCCACAGGCAGGTGGAATGGGTCCCCAGGGGGACTGGACAGGACAATTATGGCCTGTTGGTACCCTCAGGGCTCTGACATTGATGTTTGCTTATTAGTCTGCAACTCCATTGTCGGAATTCTCTGTACATGCTTGTTTGACGTGTAGGATTATTCTCCTTTGATCTTTTTTTTTCTCTTTTTTTTTTTTTTATTGTGGGGTTTAGGGTTTTTTCTGCTCTAAAATCAGCTTTAGCCATCTCCCAAGGTTGCTTTCTTTTAAAGACTGCTAATTGACCCAGTGAGTTGCTTATAGCCCTACTCCCTCTGGTACCACCCTGTGCCTGTACTTTCAATATCTACTATCATGCCATGATTGTAGTCCTCTACACTGCATTTTTATTTTACAGTAATAGTTTGTTCTCTGCAGAATATCTACTTTAGGTACAGAAATACATCAAAAATGTTATACCAATAGTCACTAGCCCATGCAATCACAAACCCAAGTTAAAGGTAAAACAGATTAGGCTATGTCACCTGGTTGTTAGAGAATTGCTATTACAACTAAACCAGCTAAACAGAAGCTGAAGACTAGCTTAGAGAAATATGACTCACAAGGTCTAGTCCTGCGGCCCTGCACAGTTGATGCAAAACCAGTGGCCTGTTAGTAACATCGGCAATTTCTTTGGTTGTAGGCCGGTAGATAACATTGTTTATTGCTTCAGAAATTTAGAAGATTACTTCTGAATGAGAATAGATGCCGTTTTATGCTGGCTTTGGGATTTGACTTCAGTGTTGCCTTTATTTTATTAGATGCCTTTTAGTAATTCTCAGTCTTGCTGTTGCAAGACATGGGTTTTGACAGGCTGTTGGGTCCCTTAATTTGTGTTTTCAACTGCTCATTGTCCAGACTAAAGAAGTTAAGGAACAGTTCAATTGTAAAACACTGCTTATCATTTAGGTGGAATTCTGCTGTATCTGATTACAGTTATGTTCATTTGCATTCTATTCCCTGTTCTAAAATATTAAAAAAGCCATTAGAATCACTTTAATAAAATAGAGCTTTGTATCAGCTTGGAGGACAGGATCTTCAAATTGATTTTAAATGACTATTTCTCCTTTTAGTTTACTAGACTGCTCATTCTGTTATAAGCAAAAGGCAAATCAGATGTTTGGAATTTAATTTTTTTCTTTTAATTATATTTACCATCCCCTTTCTTACCCTTATAATCACTGCAGTGCAGTTTCTTTTAATGATGTTTCTTTAGCAATATGGATCTACAGTGCTGTCATTAATCAAACATTTGCCTAATTTACTCTATCAAAAGGTCATTTGAAATTTAGTTGCATCTCTCTGCTTAAATAGCAACTTCTTTAGACTGTTGTCATCCATCTCATAATACCTATGAAGCCTAGCATACACACATTACAAAACTGAAGTTTCAGTTTTGCTTTCCTAATTCTGGTGCCAGTAAAGGTACTGCAGAATTCAGGAATGTGTTTAACATGAGAACTCGGACTTCACTGTGTTTATGCTTCTGCTTCTACAAATGATGGAAAATAGCTCCGATTTAATGCTGAACTATTTTACAACATCATGGAATTACAGATATTGCTAATCAAACCAGTAATAAGGGAATCCAATTTTTTTCTCTCCAAAGAGTCATTATCAGCTAATAGGTTCCCAAATCAAATGTGCTATTTAAACCACACTGTGCTCAAGTCATTAAATAGAAAGAACTGCCCCTCCCCTAGTCCCAAACCCTTTAAATTAAGGAAATACGAATTTGAAAATTCTGGTCTCCAACCCAATTATATTTTCCTTTGCTATTTTCATAGCACTTCATTCTAGACTGGCAGACACTTTAGCAGAATAGATAGTATATTTTATTCTGTTGATTAAGACACTGATTTACTGAACAGCCACGTCATGTTATTAAGAAGGTTGCAGTTGTGACTGTATTTACTCTGGTTCAGTTTCCTGCTATAAATGTTGCAAGTGGAAGGATGCACATCAAAGATTTTAATATTTTCAGGAGTTTTTAGCTGGCTTCAAAAGTATGCATTAATTTGTTCCTAATGTTTGATATTACTTTGTTTACAAATCCCGTAACTAGTGATCTAGGCAAACAGAACTAAAACTTCATGGAATTGTATTGATATGGAAACTGAGCCTCCAGGATGTATGTTTAGGATATTTTGCTATGTCAGTATGTGAGAATATTTCACATTTTTCACAGCTGTCTACTCAGATCCCTGGAAGCCTTTGCTGATTTATGGATTAGTACATGTACTTTGTTCAAAGGAAATACAGATTTTATTGGCAGAGTATAACTTGATTAAAAAATTTAATCTCTCCAAATCTGTTTACTTGGTGCTTCATATTCTTCTGTGTTGCCCCTTGTTTCTGTTCTGGTACTTATTTGTTGTTAGGGTAAGCAAAGAGAAGTATCCTGAGCTGCTTTCGGGGAAAAAAAACCAAACACCAAACTGTTTAATTAGAGGAAAAATTGCTGCTTATATAAACAAATATTCAGTGGTTACCTGCAGGTCTGTCAGTCTCTTGAAAATTCATGCCAAAATGTATTAAAAATTTGAAGCCCTAATTTCTATGTCAGTGAGTAAGAGTGTTTGATTTATATAATTGTTACGACTGTGAATCTGTGTTTTCACAATCACAAAGAGCACAGAGGCCTGGGGATACAATGCATGCATGCATGCATTTTACACCAGCTCTGTCTTTCACAGATCCCCGAAGCACCCCAACAGTTTCATAGGCTGCCTTCCCTCTTCAGCCTTCCTGGGTGCTTTCAGTCACAGCAGCTGTGAAAAGCTGTTTTATTTTTATTTCCATGGAAAGAAGTAGGGAACAAGAAGGCCCTAGAAAATGTGGACTATTTTGTCTTTTTCTCTTTGTGAGCAAAGGAATGTGGTTCCTGTGCTATACTACTACTTATCAACACATTTAACTGGTGCTAGTGCTGGGTGAAGCAATCACTGCTATCCGTGTCATCCCTGCAAAGAAAGGAGA